GTGGTCAGGCATCTTTGAGGGTATTGCCCCATGTGGGTACTCACTGTCTTCTTCCTCTAGAGGCCCCATTGTTTGTTTCAACTGAGAAAATCTGAAGGAAAAGTAACAAGGGAACAGCCCAGGAAAATGCAGATGGTGAAGAAAAGAAAGGGTGCCAGCTTTGTGACAGCTTCCTTCCTGCCTCATTTTGTCATAGTCCTATTGAGAAATACTCAATAGCTGCCCATTCTCCTGCATAGGAAATCTAGCTCCACCCACTTTTGAGCTCCCCCTCTGCTCCATTTGCTGTTTCTGGTCCCCAGAAACCACCATCACTGGACACTGACTACAATATGGCACAACCCCTCACACCATCTCCCCATCTGAAGTGAGGCTGCACATACAGATTCTGCTCATCCTCCAAAGCCTGGTTGATGACTGTCCTTTAATCTCACTCTGCCCCATGGTTCTCAAGAATGGCATGTTGCTGAAAGGCTCAGGAGGTATGGCACACATATATGCATCTGGGCTCCACCCCCAGAGGCTCTGAGTTGGCCAGCCTACAGAAAAATCCAGGAATCTGCATTTAAATAAGCACCCTAGGTGATTCTGACATAAGGGTCAAAATAGGCCATGCTTGCAAATGTTCTGTGGGAGGTCAGATGGCACTGGTCTGCCCCCTGAGCTCTGCCTGTGTGCAAAGCATGCACTTCCCTGAGCCATCCAATCTAGGCAGAGGCATGGAGACCACAATTACAATAGTGACAAGAGTGACTGCTGCAATGAAGTCCTGCTGCATATCTAGTGCTTTACTCCGGACATGTCATTTAATCGTGTCAGCACTGTGAGATTGTGGTCATCTTTTGTCTGTCTAGCACCAAACACTTTAGTGACTGCATTCCTTTTTGAAGTCTCCTTCAAGTCCCTCTCCAGATGGCTTCATTCCCCCATGTGTGAGTCTCACTGTGGAGCTTGCTTCCCCTTCTGTTGCCTGTGGAGGCATATCTTCCGCCCACCCTTCTCCCCATCAGCTATGGTGCAGACATACGCCTTGACTTAAACTTGGCCTGTTAGGGTCCAAGGCCAGCCACCTTCTGAGAGGACAAAGGACACTCGAGACAAAGTAAGTCACAAGGTGAGGTTTATTTCTAGCTAGCTAGGGTCCGAGTATCCGCCTGACACAGCAGGTTTCAACAAGGACCCTGAATGCAAAGTTTAAGCAGGTCTTATACTCTTTAAAGCATCAATCATTGTCACATAGGAATTCCTCATGCCCCTGGGGTCACATTTTCCTGACATTGCCCACATCCTGGTGGTGGGGTACAATTATTTATTGGGAACTGGAAAAACACCACACGTTTACTTATCAGGTTTACCTGTCAGGAACTTGAAAAACACCAGATGTCTTAACATATTGACTCACATTCCATTCAGCATGATCAATCAGAAACACTCCCTGTTCCCAGAAACCGTTTCACCTCCCTTTGTTCCAGGGAGTGGGGCTCGAGGACCCAAGGGTCATGCCAGTTATAGCTGATTTTTAGGCTAGGTGGGCTGCAAGTTAAAGTACCCCAACAGGTCAAATGCAAGATTCCACCCAGGATTCAGAATCTTGAGGGTGTGATTAATACAAGATGCAGGGCCAGTTGGAGGTGACTTACACAGAGGCCATTATAGCCTCAGCATCCAGGAATAGCATACAATAAGTGATTGGCAGCTTCAAGTGTACAAGGCAGTGGTATTGACAGCAACTTCACCAGCCTATCTCCTGTCATAATCTTAGCTGTGGCCTCTGAGCTCCATTCTCTCTTGGTTTCTGTCTGTTTTCTAAGACTTGTCCGCCAGCCTCTTCTTCACTCAATGAGGTCTGGTGTTCTTCTGCTCTTCCTCTATTATTTAGAACAGCCCTGTTGTTGGCATCAAGAATCATTGCTAATATTGATTAGCCCACTGAGCCAATGAGGAATACTGAGGCCCAAAAGATTCACTGAGTCACACTCAAGTTCCGACAGACTGCAAGGATGCAGATCTGGGATTCTAACTCATTGTTTGACTCCAAGGTCAGTGTAACTAACCACACAACACTATTATATTGCTGAAGTCCCATGAGGTTCACTGAAACTGAGCAGTTAAAGCGAGTTTTCTAAAGATTTGGGTGGAATTTGGGGAAATCAAGACAGGATGCTGCAGCAGCCCAAGGCTAGTGACAACAATGAGTCCTTGCCACCTCTCAGCCTGCAGGGCAAGAGGATGAAGCAGGTACCTGAACTTGGAGATAGTAGCTGTTTGGAGAAGGGCTTGAAGGAGCCTTCAGAGAGAGATGCAGTCATTCATGCCACTCCCGACCTTGCCCTCTTCTATCCATCTGCTCTCTTCCCCTGTTGCCATTGGTTAAACCCAGCCAGAAGCTGAGGACTGGACTTAGCCCACATTGGTCAGTTTCCTGGGCCCAGAGTGGGGATGAAGAGAATGGAGAGGTAGCCTGCAGGTGTACACAGGAGAGCATACCACACAATGGCTTGTCTTCCAATGGAGTGCACAGAACTTTTCAGGCAAATTTGATCTAATGGACTTAAATACCACTTAATCTATAATTTGATTAATCGCATAAGCACACTAAGCCGCATAGTTGGTTAATTTAGGACAAATAAGTAAGCATGTCATGGTGTTTGGTGGAGAGCATAATGACTTCTTGGAAGCAGATTCAAGAAGCAGGAGAAAGCTGTGTGCTACGATTCAGGAGTTTCTGAGGAGCTCTAGGGTCTAGGCATTGGTGCTGGGCTTCAGGAGAATGTGCTGCAGGTGGTATAAGACTCCAGCATGAGAAACTGCCCCAATGTGGTCTTCCTCTCCTAAGTAACATCCAATTACAGTGCTTTCCCCACCCTGGCCTTTTCACTCAGGCGCAACACTGCAACATGCAGGTCCCAGACCAGCCACCTTCAGATGCAAACACTATGTGCTGTGCAGTTGCTGTGTCTGAATGGCTTGGTTCTTTTAGACATGGAAATAGACACTCTGAGATGAACAGCTCAGGATCGTCACGCTTTCTCAGAAGACTCTTGCCAGAGTACCAGGATGAAATGAATTCCACTCTTTCCTTTTCTAATGGACTCAAAGTTAAGGGAGGTCACAAGTAACCTCTATCAGAGTAGTGCCATTCCTCGGTGACTCAGACAGCATGGCATTCTGGGTAAGGGGGAGCCCCTATATGATGGAAGCATGTACCTTATAAATTAGGACTTTTGTCGCAAAAGTAGGCCATGTATGTCCTCCTGAGATACAGTATAATGTATGCTTGCTCTCAGGCACAAAATGAAATTGGCCTCGGCCATTGCTGAATTGAAATGGAGGGACCCACCATCCTCTCCCCACCCATGGGGGCCCAAGGAGGTGGGGAATAGGAAAATTCTAGTTTAAAGCTGGTGAAGATAGCAAGACATAGGTGGGCCTGCAAAACTATTCTGTGGGGGAAAGCAGGAGGGTCCCAGAAACAGCATGGCATCTGACAGCAGAGCTGGGGGGCAGCCTAAGAGGAAGAGGAAGGTGAGTGGGAGGTGGAGGCACCCAGGGAACAGACTCCAGAGCCTACATGGTGGCCTGTCCTGGCATGATTCAAAGTAAAGAGTCATTTGCATAGAGGCAGAAGGCCAGATGTGATGCTACAAGTGGCAGGCAGGATGATTACAAGTTCAAGACCAGTCCTGGCAAAGTTAGTGAGACACTATCTCAAAAACAAAATATAAGCAAAAGGGCTTGGTGGTGTGATTCAAGTGGTAGAATGCTTGCTTAGCATTTAAGAGGCCCTGGGTTCAATTCTCCTTCAGTAAAGGAGCTCTTTAGTTTTCATTCCTTCCAGTAAGTAGTGACTTACTAGTCCTATGCCCTCCATCTGGTCATTCCACCTCTGCCCTCACAGGTTATTTTCAGGATCCAAAGATGGAATGCACGCATATGGCTGGTACTGTATCCATCTTGTCCAATGGATCCCACCTCATCCTCCTAGCATTTTCTCAGCTATGGCATTCACCCTGGTTTCTCTTTCCAGTTGTGCAGTCCTCGAAGTGGTGTCCTGCCTTCTCCACCTTCCATGGGTGAGGGTGTGGGAGGGCTGTAGAGAGCAGATTATAAGAACTGGGCCAGCTCAGCTGCTCTTCCTAAATTGTTTAACACAGGTTCCTCTTGTTATGGTGTCGTGCCCCTCCCCCAAAACTCCTGCTCTTCCCTGTTTACAGCTGGGTATAAAAGACTCACTGAAGGAGGACGTTGGCTTTTGACTTTTGGCTTTTTGGAGGGGGAAGGCTTTTTGGATATAGAAGGCTTTTGGAAGAGAGGATTGCTGGAGGGAGATTGCTAAAGGGGTAAAATGAATGACTGAAGGGAAATTGCTGAAGGGAGGATTGCTGAAGGGAAAGGAATTGCTAAAGCTAAAGAGAAACATGGGACCGTGCAAGTCTGGGAGCAAAGACCTTAAGAGTGATGATGCTAAACAAAAGCTAAGAGACAACATGGGACAGAGCGAGAGACTCTAAGGAAAGAGACTTTAAAGAACAGAAAAGAAAACTTTAAAAGCAGCAGGAGTTGTAAGGAAAGACTTTAGAAGCAAGTTTTTAAAGAATTGTAAAGGAGTAAGGCCTTACAGAATAAATATAGAGAAAAGAAGCAGAGCAAATAAAGGGAATAATAGAGACAAGCAGCTTTTTCTTTCTGTCTGTCTGTCTATCCTGTGTCCTTTCTGCATCTCCCATTGCTGCCCAGTTAGGCCCAGTTAGATTCAGTAGTAGTAACAAGGAAGGGAGGAAAAGCTCGCTTCGCAGGGCCACAGATGAAGGAAGAAACCCAGGTGTCTGATTCTCAGAGGGTTAGGGGGAACAGGGGCTGGAAGAGCAGGATGCTTGCCAAGGGGGAGCTCTGTCCAGGTGGCTAAAACTGCACGGTCCAGGGAAGGACACGGGGCAGAAATATCAACTGTTCCCGCAGACCCTGACCCCAACAAGAGAGCAGTGACAGTGGAAAGCTTTGGATTCTGTCTTTATTTCACGCCAACTCGCTGGTGGAATGACAGGCCACGGCATGCTGGGGGCTGTGTCTTCTCTTTTGAGAGGCAAAGCACACACTCAAGGTGATTAGTGACACAAGGGGAGTTGAAGAGCCAGGAAGGGGGGATCCTGAGCTTAGATGTCACCTGTGATTATAGACTCGTTTCATGTCATTCATTAATCCCCTTCTTTTTCCTCTCCCCAGACTCCTCTTCCACACAATTGCCAGATGGGTATGACTGGAGGTCAGAGGTCATTGTCATGGCTTCATGGGTCTAGGATCCAAATGACCTCTGCGTAACAGCAAACAGGACACCAAAGACCAGGCTCTTACTGAGAAGTCCACAGGTCACCGGAACCACAAAGCTAAGCACAGGGACCCTGGGGAGAGAGGAGATTGAAGAATGCTGATGCCAGAACAACTCCACACTGGAGTGTTTATGAAATTCCTTCACGTCCCCATCTTGTCCACTTAAGTCCTTCCCACAGCTTTCCCACAGTGTCTGGCCCTGGGCAGTACTGCTTGTTTCATTCCCTAAAACAACCAACTAGAAACATGATTGCTAGGAGTGAAGGGTTCCCACCCAACAGAGGCATGGGGGAGAAAGAGTGAGCCCAGTTAGCCTCATCTTCCTTGTAATGGGGCAGAGGAGTGGAGTCAGGATCCAGGAAACCTGGGCTCTGTTCTCAGCACCTTCCTAGGACAGTCAGCTCCACCGTTAGTCTCTGTTTGCTCATTTATAAAGACAGAAGAATTCAACCCCAGTGAAAATCCCATTATGAATGGTTAGAGATTTTAGCTAAATGATTCTACAAGTTCCAGGAAGACAGTGATAGATATCATAAGAGAAAGACCCATAGGAGAGAGAGCCCGGCTGTACCATCATCAGATATGGAAGCAGATGAGAACAGGTGTTGTACACGCTGAGGCACAGGAACAAAAAGGGTAGATAGCAATGGAACAAACAGAAGGCCAGATAGCGTGCTAAGGCTATGAAGGGTTTAATAGCTAAGAAAGCCCCCAGCCTCGAGACACTAACACAGGAGGATCGTAAGTTTGAGGCCAGCCCTGACTACATAGAAAGGCCCTGTCTCACCAGACATGGCGGCTCAAGCCTATAATCCTAGCTACTGGGGTGGCAGAGATAGGAAGGAACAGTTCGAGGTCAGGCAAGGCAAAAAGTTCATGAGACCCCAAGTCAACCAATGGCTGGCATGGTGGCATGCTTCTGTCATCCCAACTGTGGCCAGAAGCATAAATAGGAGGATCATGGTCCAAGCCAGCCCAGGCATAAACACGAGACCCTATCTCAAAAATAACCAGAGCAAAAAAAGGGCTGGAGTTATGACTCAAGCAGTACAGCACCTGCTTAGTGAAAGAGTGGCCCTGACCTTAAACCCTAGTACTACCAATAAAAAAGACCCTATCTTAAAAAGAAAAAAAATCAATGGCTCAGGAAATCAGAGGCCCAGTAGATAAAGCAAGGACTGTTTCACAAAGAGCCTGGCAGTATCTGCATAGCAGTATGAAGAAAAAGTAATCTCTGAAATTCAGCTCCCACAGTGGGCTAAAGATTTACATAAACTGGGAAAAAAATGTAGAAATGTCACCAGGAAATAGAACCAAGCACAATTAAAGACTAAAGCAAAGTAGTAATTTTTAAAATGGCACATTTACCTATGTAAAATTCAAAAGTGAAGGCATAAGCTAATAACAGTGAGAGAGTAGAGCAACCTGCCTGCTTGGGCTCGCATCCACCCCAGCCTCCCACCCTGTCCTGGATCATAGGCAACAACATTCCCAAGGCTGCCAGTCAAGTTCAGCAGCTGGACAGGCATCCAGGACAGAGAATCAAGCATTTGTCTTGCACTTCATGGTTGCAACAGCACCCACCATGGTGCCAGCCTCTGCCCAGGATGGAGGGAAGCCCTCCCACCAGGTCTCTGCTTCTGGTCTTCACTAACTCTGTCCCCTCCCCAAGTCTTGCGTGTCCATGCTGCATCTAATCCCCTCAGAGCCCTGCATCATTTCATGCACTACGCTCCCAGGAGCACCCCCTCCAGAGGGGCCATCATGCCTTTCATAGGCTTCTCAGTCTACCAGACCCCCTGAGGTGCCTGGGAATCCCTGTGCCCTGCATTGCCCCTTCCCAAGGACAGAATGTGGAAGTATACACACTCCAGGTCCTCCATCCCCAATTGGGACAACTCCAGGTGTGACCTCTTGGGACCAAGCCCTGTGAGACCGGGCTTATTTATGAAAACTTACTTGGCTTCCTTCCCTTCCTAGAGCCACTTCCCTAATTGCTCTGCCAGGGATCACTTCCTAAAACACTTTAACAAGATGTTTTTCCCCATGCCTGCCTCTGGGGAAGTAACCCTGGGACAGAAGCTTTTTCCAGAGCCTTCCCATCCCTAGGTTAAGGGTTTCCACTCTACCAGAGTCCAACAGAAAAGTTAAAATTGGTTAAGAGAGTTACAAGTGAAAGAGGTATAGCCTCTGATAGGAATGCAGACAAAGGGTGTATCCTTCCTTTGTATTTGAAAATAAAAGCAGAAGAAAGAAGAATATTGACCCTTACTAGATTATTGTATGTAGTCCACAAAGATTTAACGAGCACTCATTGTATACCAGGCTCTTGGGTGGGAGCCAGGGAAACAATGAAAGGAGGCGGAGGGAGTGCTACCTCTACCCTCCTGGGGCAGGAGTGCACATTCGTACAGGAATGAAAGCAGATACCACTTCCCATTTATTTTGTCAGGAAAGTTTTTTTCTTGGTGTTGGGTACAGAACCTGGGGCCTCATGCATGCTAAGTGCATACACTGTCACAGAGCTACATACACCCCAGCCCTGGCAGGAATGTTTTAAATACTAAACCCATGTTGGCAAATCTGTAGTATCACTGCTTCACTCGTGCATTATGGGTCACCAGCACATTGCTTCTGATCATTTGAAAGACCATTTATATATGTGACGTGTACGCAGGACAATATAAATGTTCCAATCCTCTTCTGGAAATTTTGTCAGAATAAACGATCTTAAAAATGAAGAGAGTATCAATGAATAAGTACAGGAAGACTCTTGTGTGTTGTGCTCCAATTGATATAAAAGCATGCATTCAAAAAAAGGGGTGGCTGGGAGTTTGGTTCAAGTGGTAGAGCTGCCTGCCTTACAAGTACAAGGTCCTGAGTTCAAATTCCATACTGTCATACAAGAAAGAAAAGTAGATGTTCATTGAAATTATAATTATGAAGGCGAGGTAGCAATGTTGAGGAGTAATTTTGGCAGGGAAAATGAGCTTAATTGGAATGGAGTACTGTATTAAGGTAAGTATAAACATAAAGACTAGAGGAGAATATAGAATAATATTTCTTTCTCTGTGAATTCAATATTTAATAATAAACACATCCTAAGATACATCAACACCTAAAGTAGCTATAAATCAGAGTGCACATGCTTCTTAACTCTGCTTGTGGTTCTTTATCTTGGATCTGAAATGTTCCCCAAAGGCCCATATGTTAAATAAAGGTTAATCCTCACAAAGCCACTATTGGGAAGTAGTAGAAATTTTAAGGGAGGTGGTTTCAAGACTGTGGGGCCATGCCCTTGAAGGGGATCATGGGACCCCAGCCCCTTCTTTTTCCTTTGTTTTCCCTGTCCTGACTCTGAGGAGAAAGTTTTGGCCATGTGTTGCCATCATGATATGCTCTTCTTTTATCACAGACCCAAAAACCATAGGGCCAACTGATCACGGACTGAAACCTCCAAAACTATGAGCCAAAATAAATCTTTCCTCCTTATAAGCTGATTATCTCAGGCATTTGTTAAATAATGGAAACTGACAGGCACAAATGAGTGTAAGAAATCCCCTGAAAATCTTATTTTAAATTGCTGAGGGGAGGGGGGACAAAGGAGAATGATGGAGGGGGTGAATTTAACTATGAACTTTGGTAACACAATGTCATAATGTTCCCCCAGTACAACAATAATTTAAAAAAGAAAAAAATAAAATAAGTTAAATTATGAAAAAAAAACCAAAATGCTGAGACCAGGGCTGAGGATGTGGGTCAAGTGGTAGAATGCTTGCCTGGCAGGCAAGAGGCCCTGGATCCAATCCCCAGAACCAAAAAAACCCACCCGAGACTGTCCCTATCTCCAGAAATTTTCTTTCCATTAGTCCATGGTACAGTACTTGCATCAATATTACAAACAAACTAATTAATTAATTAAGCCAAGCAAGACAAAGCAAAGACAAATGCTCCTAATAATCATAACTATAGCTGCTGCTGAGAGCCCTGCAGCTGGGTGGTCTCTCCCAGCCCCTACTGTATCAAAAGAAACTAAGCCAGAGAGTTCCTGACTTGCCCAATGTCACATAGTCAGCCAGTCTACCTGACATTAGAATCCAGGGTCCCTCACTCAGAGTGCTTTTTCTACTATACCATTAGTAGAAAAATGAGCTTGGCCAGGTCCACTGGAATTCCACAAAAAAAAAAAAAGCCATCTCCCTCTCCTTACTTCTTTGTTATGCAAGGAAACAAGGAGGGAGAGCTGGGGAAAATGGTAGCCCCACTGGGAGCCTCCTCCTCACTCCATCACCATCACCTCCTTCCCCTGGGAATTTCTACCCAGACCGAGGTAACTCAAGTCTGTTCCTACCCCACTCCACCCCCATCCTTAATCCCCACATCTCCTCAACACATGGAATGGAGAACAAAGAGTGTCCAAACCAAGAGAGCCCAGAGGCCTGAAAACCATACCTGATGACATCCGTCTTATTTGTGAAGTTGACTCCAGGGTCAAGAGAGGAGATAAGAGCAGTTGTCTTTGGTAAGGGTTGGGTCACAGTTCTGTACCTGGCATGGGTATTGCTGGGGTCCTTTGTGGTAGTAAGGGTAGGGATCTTAGCCGAGTTCAGAGTAGGATTCTTGTCAGAGGCAGGGGTAACTGAAGAATCTGCAAGAAGCACATTGGATGGATGAATGGGTGGATGGTGGGAGGGATGGATGGATGGATGGATGGATAAAGAATGGGGTGGGTGAGTAGGTAGTAGTGGATGGATGGGTGGCTGAATAGACATATGAATGGAAGGATATGGTAGAGAGAAAACAGAGCTGAGAAGAGAAATGAACATATCCATTCAAGAAGCAAGGTCTTCTTCTGATAAAATCAAAGATCTAGTGTAAGATCAGGCTGGATCAGAGACAGAAAGAAGGAATGCAAGATTAAGGGATGAAGAAAGGAACTTTCAGGCTGTTTGTGTTATTGGAAATATACATGCCTACCAATCCATATGCCCCATGTGCTCCAAGAACAATTCCCTATTATTCTTCCTTCCATCATTCACTCTGCCTTTGCAAGTACATATTGCTTTAAAGGTTATCTTGAATTAATGTATTGCAGGTGTGCCTTGTCTTAGGCTTAGGGTTCTCTTAGTGCCAGGAATCTGGACCTACTTCCCATTCCTCTGCCTTCCTTAATTCATCCAAAATTAGTTTATTTCTGGTGATACAGAGTCCAGTAAGACACAGGCCCTTCCTCAAAGAGTCAGAGACTAATAAATAGGGAAGCAGATAAGGAAATCATGCTCTACTGTCTGCTGAGATAATGCCATTTATAAAAGGGACACAAACTGAGCCTTGGGACTTGTTCCCCATAAATGGGAGTCGCCCTGAGCCTCCTGAGTCAGGGTCCTCATTTGAAATAAGACCCATGGGTGGTCTCAGGAAGGCCTGAGATGCACTGTTTTAGAAGCACAGAGGAGGGCCACCAAACGCATCCTTAGGAGAAGAACAGATCACAGGAGGCTTCCCCAAGTGGGCACTTGAGTAATGGGATTAAATTATCCCAAGTCTACTGCTCAGCTTTTAGTGTACCCCACCACCCAAGGGGAGTCCCAGGACTGGATTCACCGACTTACTGTTGGGCCAAAAGCCTGTCAAGGACCTCAGGTGTCAGACAAGGAGCTTCTGGGAGAAGCCAGGTTGCTAGGAATCATGAGCCACTGTGCCATCCTCCCCTGACCTCCCTCTCTCCACCCTCTCCCCGGCCACACTCAGGTTACTCACCCTTGGTCACCACCAGGCGAACAGGACGGAACAGGATGATAGGGTCCGCAGGGGGATGGTAGATCACACACCGATATAGTCCCGAGTCCTCCACTTGAAGGTTGGTCATTTGGACGTAGAGCATGGCCTCTGAGGGGTCATCTTTCAGAGTGTACTTCCCCACTTGAACTTGACTGGGATTCCCTGATGACTTCTCTGTGATTGCCAGGGTCAAGGGCTCCCCTGTGTCCTGAAGCCTCTGCCAAGCCTTCTGGCTATAGAAGTACATCATGATATTGAAGGGGCATCTCACTGTCAGGTTCTGCCCCTCTGTTTTGGCATACTTTTCCTCTTGTAATTCAAAGGCAGCTTGGAGTTCTTTAAGCAGGAAAAGGGAGTTAGACTCTGTAAGGAATAGTTTTATTCTCTTTGGAAAAATAAAAGGAGGGAACAATCTGTTTTTCTTTTCCAATTGCCTCAAGGTGGGTTGGACAAAGTCCTCAGGATATCTTTCTCCACCAGCCAGCACTAGGTCTCTGAGTGCTACACTGTCAAGGAGTTTGTGGGGGGGGGGGTGTTGTTTTCTTACTATAAGATCCTATGGCATACGGTCCATGAAAATCAAACTTTATAAATGATCCACCCCCTTTTTTTTTTTGGTGGGACTGGGGCTTAAACTCAGGCCCTCCTACCCCAGCATGCAGTGGAGAGCTGGGATTACAGCCTCCCTGAGAACGGACACCAGTTTCCCCTGTTCATACCTGTGTCCTCAGTGATGGTGGATTTGCTGGCCCACGGTAGCCCAGAGAAATATTTGTTAAATGCATTACATCTTCTGGGTCTAACAGACTGTCCACAGCACGATATGCCGGGCCATCATGACATCGTGACATGACTCAAGTGGTACAGCACTTGCCTAGCATGTGCAAGGCCCTGGGTTCAATCCCCAGTACCAAAAAAAAAAAGGACACCATGATGGGATGAATAGAAAAAGAATTTTCAGCACTAAAAATAAGTATTCAGATCGTCATCAATATTCTCATCCAGGGCTTCCCATGGTCTCTGATACCAAAATGCAGCCAGACCGAAGATGTGGCTCAGTGGTAGAGCACTTGCCTAGCATGGGGGGCCCTGAGTTCACTGCCACCACCTACACACACAGCACAGCACAACACACAAGGAACAGACACCTTGCTTCCTGGGCCTGACTGTTCTCAGTCTACTGAACTTGGGTAAGGAAGCCAGGTCTAACATAAGTACTGCTTGGCTCTGTCTTGAATGGCTATGGGCTCCGGAGCTTACAAAGAAAAGGGCTCCTGAGGTCCCAACCAGAGGCCTCACCTGCTTACCCTCCTGCTTGCCTTACCTGATAAGAACAGAATCCACAGCAGCTCCCAGAGTCTGGCCTTCTTCATCCTTCCTTTTCACTAGCCCTAACTGCCTCTGAAGGCTCCCGGGAGGCTACAAGGCACCCCCCACCCACCCTGACCCAGAGGCTCCGGAAAGTTACACAACACGACATGAAGCCATTCGTGGGAGGTGCTAGGACAACTGCTGTCCCATCACTGCTCACACGTAATTGGCTGCAGACGTCAAGGCAGGAATTCAGACACGAGGGCTCAAACCTCAGTTAAGTTTTTCTGAACTTCAATTTCCTCTTCTCTAGGAATAATGATGATTACTTTTTCAACTTCACAAAATTTTAGAGAGAGTAATTATAGCGAATATTATAATTATGTTGCCTCACATCATTTTAAATACAAGTTTAAGGGCCAGGCATGATGTGTCAAACCTGTCATCCCAGCTACACAGGAGGCAATCAGATCCTGGGCAAACACACAAGACCCTATTTGAAAAATAACTAAAGCAAAAAGGGCCGCAGGCATGGCTCAAGTGGAAGAGTGCTTGCTTAGCAAGTGCAAGACCCTGAGTTCAAATCCCAGTACCAACAAAAAATTACAGCTTCAAGTTTCTCATTCTAGAAACAGGACTTTGTCACCTCTGACATGGTTTCCAGCTTTACACTCCACCCTAGTTCCCCAATGTGGTGGATCCAACTTCCTCCTAATGACTACCTTTTTGTGAGACAGCTAGACATGACCTGCTTAACTAGCACCACTGATCCCCACACCCTCCATGAGCTGTGAAGATATGTCACAGTCCCTGCCTCTGAGTCACAGTGTCACCTCCTAGGACTCATGTCTGCTTCCTTTGAAACTATCAACTAAAACTCCCTGGAAAAAACCTACTTGACTAATGCCAAGACCCATAAAAGGCACTGATGTACAGGGGTCCCTTGATCTCTCTTTCCCCTGCTCCCTGACCTCCATTGGTGTGGCCTCTTGGCCTACCATGCGCCCTCCGAAGACCTGTAAGTAATAAAACCATTATTTCCATCTGTGTTGAGGTGATTGCCATCTTGAATCTTCTAAAGTAAAACAACTGGAGTGTTTGTGACAATTAGCTCAGAATCTCTTACTAACAGTCTAAATGGTATGGACAACTGTACCCTGAGGCAAAACTCCATTGCACTGCTCTGTCACCTCTGTAGAGTGCTGCCCAGCTGTCCAACCCAAATCATTCATGAGAATAATATACTCCCAAAAGTGATCCGTCCCACCCCAAGGGAATTCTTGCTCTAGACCAAGAAAACCTGTGTGGTTGGCCAGAACCCTGGCTGGAAAGTCTCGCACACAAAAGGGACTCCACCCCTCCTTAGAGGGAGCTGTGACATTCCCAATCTCCTTCCCTAGTAATGACTTCCTTTTTCTGTCCCAGCCTGAGCCACGGTGAGCTAGAGGGCTGCAGGGCAATGGTCCCACTAACAAAGCAAACAGGACACTGTACTACAGCCATGTGAGTCTCCTTATCGGGTGTAGCAGAGCACACAAAGCAAAGTCTCCCTGGGGTCTGCCATTCGGACTGGCAATGTCTGCAATCAGAATGGCAGCACTAATCGTAACCCCTAGCCTGTGGGTTTATGATTAAACCTGCATGAGCCACCATGGTACCATGGAGTTGTGGCACCTGCTGGGATCAGCTCTCCTTGTTGCTGCATTCCCTGCTTCTGTCACTCCGATCCCCAGTCCCAGAGGGTATCATGAGCCTCAGTGGTTGGCATTATGTGACTAAGGCTCTGATGGGTGAAAACAAATGCCCTGAACACTTGGCCCCTGCCCCCCGCCCCCAAAGACACCAGAGGAGGCCCAAACAACTCTTAGACAAATGCCAAACTCCCATGGTCACTGCTCAGTGCCCCTAATGGTCAACCTACAGAGAGCTCTGTGCTATGTCCTAGAGCTAAGTGGCCACTAGTAATAGTAATGGCTGTGGTTCAGTGGCAGATCATTTGCCTAGCATTCTCAAAGCCCTGGATTCCATCCCCAAGCACCAGAGAAAAAGAAAAGTCCATGCTGACCCTGATCCTTCCCAGGCTGACTGAGACACCCTGGAAAGGGAAGTGGCTACCTAGAAGGCCAGTAAAGTGGAAGGTAACAATTTGTATAAGGTCAAAAAGCAACAGAGGCTATTCAATGCCACTAGGAACTGGTCAGGTAAACATCCAGAGAGAGGAGAGGGAACTGTTTTTAGTCGCCTAGAAATACCAGTCATCGTAAAGATTTTACTTAGAGGGGGAAAGGAGCTTCTATCTTTGGTGGGGACTTTCTTGAGAGAGGCTGCTTCCTGGAGGCAGTGGGCCCCTTTCCTCCTCCCTCTTTCCTCTTATCAACCAGAGACAGCCCTGGCTAAGAACCTGCCTTCAGGTGGCTGGAAGCCTTCAAGAGGAAAGGACTGTCATTTTAGGTAGCAACAAGTCCAAGAAAAGAAAAGGAACTTTAAACTGTAAGTACTGAGCAACGCCAGGCCTAGCAAATGTAATGCTAGCCTCAAATACTTGAGTTATTGGTGAACAAACTCCTAGATAAAAAAGGGGAAACAAACGCTAATCAAATAAATTATAGATGTACATATGACATTTTAATATAAATATAAAATGTATATGTATAATATTTTAACAGATATATAATGATTTATATATAAATATATAATAGATATGTCACTATTTTCCATAATTTGATTAATTGGAAATTCAAAAAATGTATATAGTTTTAATTTATATAATTAAAAGATTATTGTGCATTTACAATCTAGGTTCTGACTTAACTTTTTCATTTGTTGCAATGTGCTAACTGATAAACATTCGTACACAATTCTGGGGCACAAATTATAGTTCTACCTGGGGATCCTGCTAAATTTAAGCATTCTGCCCCTATAATATTAAGAAGGTAACAGATATAATTTTTTATGAGTATGCTTCACTGTAACTGAAGGTGTGGCTCCAGAAGTAGAGCTCCTGCTTTGCCAGCAAAGCCCTGAGTTCAAACTCCAGTCCCACAAAAAAAAAAAAAAAGAGTATGCCTCATTGTAACTGTAGCTTTACCTGAATTTTCCACATATATTCATTGGTATGGAATATGCTATGAGGACATAAGCACTCTGATTACAGTAAGTTTTTGGTACCTACAAATTGGCTTGATAACAAGACCCATGATCCCCCAGTTGAGACAGTTAACAGGGTTCGGTGTAACTTGAATCAGGGCCCTCCAGGTTTAAAATTTACACCCTAATTAACAAAGTGGTAATTATTCCCACTGTTTCTCCACTAAGCAGCCCAATTTTGCCATTCTGAAAACCTGGAATTCAGATGCCTTATGATGGATTACTATGACCTTGACACTGCAGCCACCCATGGGGACCCCATCCCCAATATTATTAAAATGGCCTATCCTGTTTAGCCCCCACCTGATAACTGCTGTGCTCTTGCAGAGGTGCCTGGCCTGCTCTGTTCAGAGGCTACTTTGCCTCTGAAGGGACACAGTCCACTTTCCAGGCTGCCCATGGGGGAACCTCCGTGGCTTTGTCGCTATACACAGTCTGTGCAAACATGATCTTAAGAAATCACCTTCTCTGGAAGCACAGGTACAACAGCAAGTAGATCCAGGTCACCCTCCTCCAAGGAGATTCATTAGGTACACGATCTGGACAATAATATTCTTAGTACTTTTGGGTTCTGGTGGCAACACACATTCACCTATTTTACTTCTAAATTTAAATCAACAGGTATTCCTGTGAGGGCCCCCAAAACGTCACTGGACTGGAGGTATGGCTCAGTGGTAGAGCACTTGCCTAGTATGCACAAGATTCTGGATTCAATCCCTAGCACTGCACAGAAACAAGCAAACAAAAACAAAACAACACAAAAAGCTCCTTCGCGGCAGAGACTTTGGCAACCTCTTCCCATGCCTCCCAGAGTTTCTGGGCTGTTTATAATGGCCACTCGGTTGCCCCAAGCTTCAAAGAGGCCAGCAATTTTCCTTCTTGGCATTATTAAAACAAAAAATTATGGTCTACCAACTGGGGTCTCCCAAAATAGAGGCTCCCCCAGACCCTGAGCCTGGGACCATCTATATCAAGCTGCCTGTTTTGTTTTGGGTCATAGAAAAGCACCCCACAAATTCAGCATGACTACCGAGGCCTTCTTAAGATAGGATGGAGCCAAACAAGGACCCTCTGGGATATTCTGCTTGCAAGAAGGGTTGCCTCCCCTGTTGGTACTGGGTTTTGAACTCAGGACCTCAGGAAGGAGCTCTACCACTTGAGCCATGCCCCCAGCCCTTTTGTGCTTTAATTATTTTGGGGATAGAGGCTACTGCTTTTATGCTAGGTCCTGGCCTTGAACTGCAGTCCTCCAGATCACAGCCTCCTGAGTGGCTGGGATTATAGGCATGAGCCACCACCTATGACACCCTATGTGTGACATTTTTAAACCATGAGATCAGGTTATCTTCTTTTCTGGCTCAAAGGAGAGGCTCCACGAGTTGTGACTCTGATCTCTGAGGGAGGTATGCCTGGTGTTAGTGTCTCTAAGGAGGCCCAGTGAGGCTGATTCTGGCTGTGGGGAAAACTGCAAAGTGGGACGGCCCTGCTGAGGCCACTCGAAGGACGACATCATGAGCTGTGAGTCTGAAGCAGGTGCACATCCTGCTTCTTCCTCCTCCTCTAGTGGCCCTATTGACAGGGTCTACAAGGGAATCAACTGGAAAAGAAAAAATGCTCTCAGAATCTCAACTCAATTGGAGGGAAGGATTCTTCAGAGAGACCATGGCTGAATACCAGCTCACTCATAGGACCTATAAACAAGAACACCCCCCACACACACACGCAAAACAAGCACCAGTGGCTCACGCCTGCAATCCTAGCTACTCAGGAAGCAGAGATCAGGAGGATCTTGGTTTGAGGCCAGCCCAGGCAAATAGTTCATGAGAGTCTATCTTGAAAATATGTAACCAGAAAAGTGCTGGCAGAGTGGCTCAAGTGGTAGAGCTTCTACCCTGCATGCATGAGGCCCTGGCTTCAATCCCCAGCACCACAAAAAAAAAAAGAAAGAAAAAATTGTAAAGCCCTAAGTAAATGGAAAA